AATGAAAGGTTACGTGCCCTTGGCATGCTACAGATCGGCACAACACAGGCGGTTGTGGCGCGGACGATGAATGTTTCTCAGTCTGTCATAAGCAGGCTATGGTCCAGATACCGTGATACACAATCTGTACAGGACAGACCACGCTCAGGTCGACCAAGGGCGACAACTCAAGCCCAGGATCGATTTATCCGTACCTTGGCCTTGAGAAATCGTGTCATCACAGCAAATCAGATCAGCGCTCGCCTTCAAACAGACACTGGTGTGAGAGTGAGTGGCCAGACGATTCGGAATCGACTGCATAGGGGTCACCTTCGCGCCCGACGTCCTCGCGTGATCCCTTGTTTGAGAGATCATCACATTCAGGCAAGACGTCGTTGGTGTAGGGGTCGTCAACACTGGGATAATCGACGCTGGAGCAATGTGATGTTTTCAGATGAGTCAAGGTTCACTGTTGATTTTTTGGACAGACGTAGGAGGGTGTGGCGTCGTCGAAACGAGCGCTTCCAAGACGTTAACGTCATCAGACATGATCGATTTGGGGGTGGTTCTGTTATGGTGTGGGGAGGCATCACTGTTGCTGGAAGAACGGCTTTACATGTTGTTGCAGGGCGTGTTACAGGCCAGTACTACCGGGACAACATCTTGGCAGTCCATGTTGTGCCGTTCGCACGACGTCATGGCCGCCGTTTCATCTTCCAGGATGACAAAGCAAGATGTCACAGGGCCAGGATCGTTACAGGTTACCTCCAACAACAGAACATCACCACATAACCTTGGCCAGCACTGAGTCCCGACCTCTCCCCCATCGAGCATGTCTGGGACATGCTTGGACAGAGGTTACGTCAACGTCAACAACGTCCTGCCAATGTCCAGGAACTTGCTGCTGCGTTGCAACAGGAATGGGACAATCTGGACCAAAATGACCTTAGACGTCTCATTGGGAGTATGCCACGTCGGATCAATGCTTGTTTGGCAAACAGAGGAGGATTTACCCGTTACTGACTTGGTTGTGATGCTGTGGTAACTTTGCTGTTTGACCCCGGGTATCATTTTACCTTTATAATGGTCAGTCTGTGCCTTACTTAGTCTAACGATCATTTGGAATAAATTGATGAATGTGAACTTCATTTCATTTTGTCATTTGTTTCTTCGTCAGTTTCACTAGGTGACTTTAATAACACTTAAAAATCAAATATCCCCTACTTTTTTTGAATAGTATATGTCTTTGTAGCTTAGGAGGGACCTATGGAAGATTAGTTTTTTTGCAAACTAAATACGTTGCCTCATTAAATAAAGTTTTTATTATTATTATTATTATTATTATTATTATAGTATCATGCAAGGTAGGGCTTGTGATATATCATGTATAGGGTTTTCGTAGCCACTGAATTTAAAATTGAATTATTTATTGGAATTTTCGATGAAACGGAAAGGTTTGTTCCGCACAGGTATTAGCTTAGAAGGGACAAATACAATTTGTAGAACCAGATATTTGATGTTAGTGAACCCATTTTTTCTAGGACACCTGTTTCACACAAAATCTTATTTTCTACCCTGACGAACCTTCAGTATAATAATCTATATGCATACAAAGTATATGAAAATACACATTCAAGCAGCATTTAATATGGTCTACCACCTGTAGGACACTCCCTTCAACTTAAAAATAAATTGTTTATTGGAATTTTCGATTAAACGTAAACTTTCTGTAATATGTAAAATACTCGACTAATATATCAGTTGTAACATGTTTAACATCATATCTTTCCACGCGAATTAACAATAAAGTGTTCATTCGATAAAACGGAAACATTTTTTATACTTGTAAAATAAATACCTATTGTGTATATGATACGTTGAAGTCTACCATGTAATACGGAAATTTGCAACACGTTTATAAGCACCATATCTTTCTACATGAACTAACAATAAATTGTCCATTGGATAAAAAGGAGACATTTTTTTTATATATATAACTGTAAAATAATATATGAATTATCGTTTTAACATCATATCTTTTGCCTCCCTTTTCAGGGATGGACACTCAAAAGGAGTATGGTAGTTTCGGGGGTCCCTAAATTAGTCAATGTTCTCGCGTAGTTATGAATTTATGTCGTTTTTGATGAATTATTAAGATATATGCATAAGCTAAAAACACCAGGATATACTCTAGAAAGTACCATTTAAATTACAGTCAGTTTTTTCAAAAGAAATTTCGAGTCTGGTTGTAGAGAACCCTGTCGTTCACCTCACGGAGCAAAGATAAGCCTGTCCTATCCTAGGTATCATATGTGTAATTTTATGTCAACTTCACAATTGTTAGTATAAATATAACATTTACTTGACAATTATCACAATTTTCATCTGGCCTTAAAACATTTTAATTGGATTTGTGTTCCTGGTGTTATAAGCTTTCCAAATATGTATAGTTTGTTTAATAGGGAGGACCTTGTAGCGGAACTGTGTTTCTAAGCAAGCTAAAAATTTTGGTTGCAGGCCTACTAGACCATACGACAAAAGTTGCCGGGCATAGAGGCGTTAATGTAAAAACGGACCACATTACCATTTCTGAACGAATAAGAGATCTTAAATTCTTAACAACTGGATATATCATAAATAATTCTCAATACGGCTTAAAATGGTGCAAAGGCATAGTAGATGAAATTAAAATGACTCACTATTTTGGTGAAATGTCTTGTGATCTGTGAGATCCAAAATAATCAATTCCATATTATGCCCCATTGTATTGTTTATGGTGTGTGTGTGTGTGGGGGAGGGGGTCGCATAGGATGTGTCATTTTTAGCAGTATCATTAACATCATTTTCAGCATTATTTTTGAGTTTTTATTCATGTTCAGTGACTCTGAAAACCTTATAAAAGAGACATTATAAGCTATATAAAACAGTCATTCATGTTATGGAAATTCTGACCGCCATTTTGAATTTTCCCCATCTTGGATTTTTAAAACTCTTTGTTTAGATTAAACAAACATTGTGCAAGAGCTAAATCTGCCTATTGCAGGTCTTTCTTTAGGCCTGAAATGTTTTCTAAATTATTATTTAGACATTAATTAACTGACCCAGGCCATAATCAACTCTCGATGGCATCGGATTTCTCCGATATTAAATAAATTAGAACGTATCAGTCATATTTTGATTTAATCTAAAAATGGAGGAGCGAGACTTAGCTTCGAGCAACCAGTACAGTTGTTGAAATTATTGCACGTGTCTTGTCAAACCTTCAAAGGCTAATATCTTCGCTTGCAATAGAGTAATTTGAATGAAATTGTCAAATTATTCATTTTACATTATCTATTTTCGAACTATTGTAGCAAGAATGGCTAGCTCTTTATCTAAATCTTACGTAATGAATCTTTAATTGTAAGATCATTGGATAGTACATGTCATATCAAACAATGAAATGACTATTATCTTACATATTGGCCATTTTAGGAAATTTTGTCGCCATTTTGAATTTCCGCCATCTTGGATCTGGGACACTCATATTTGAGATTATTTTTTATGATCAATGTTTCTGATATCTATTCAATCACTTAAGTTGACCAAACAGATAATTTGGCTTATATTGGTCTGAACACGATTTGTTAGTAAACATACGAACAGACATGAAAAAAAAATCGAAAATGTTGCTTTTTTCAGATTAATCTTTTATTTTAAAACTAATAGTATTGATTAAACAACATATATCATATACCAGCAGATGCAGAATTATATTATGAACATTTTGAGATATATTACATATCCATATAGGTGAAACTGTTGAGGAGTTATGAAGGCTTCCCCGACTCGCACTATTTCAAATAAGAAAAAAAACGGCGGCCATTTTTTTTAAAGATGGCCGCCAAACTGACATTTGGCAAAGTGACCCGGAAGTCCATCAACCAATTTTGGACACTTTAGACCTAAGGCTAACTGAAAATCATAGTTAAACCAATTCATCAAATTGGTAATGAATATCTGCCTGTCACGGTGGCTAAGTGGGTAAGACGTTGGCTCGCTAGCCTAGAGGTGGGTGTTCGATCCCTGCATTGGCCGAGAAAGTTCACCCAGATTTTCCGGCGTGGTTCCCCCTTGTCAGTATCTAGCCATTCGGATGATACGAAAAACCGACGTCCCGTGTACACATTGGCGTGCACGTAAAAGATCCCTTGGCAGTTGGAATTCGATATAAGAGTAGGCCGTAGCGCCGCTGCCCGGGAAAAATTTCCCTCATAGCACACTGTATGGCGTATGCCCGTCTTCATTAGCCCAGTTTAGGAGCAGAACAGTAGGACGTTAAACCCCATTTCATTTCATTTCATGAAATCGTCTATAATTTGATACACATTTAATTCTGGGTCAATAACAAAATAACACATCTGACACTCCTGGTGGAAAGTTTCCACTGTCCATATAGGGGTGGTTCTCGACGTCATTAGGAATGTCCGCGATATCACCCATGGTGGAAGTGGACGTAACTCTAGGAAAGAGAAATGAAATATATAACACAAGCGATATCTACTGTAGAATGTATTATTGGGTGATATACCTGTTTATATTCATACCAACTAGCTTGAGTTAAATAAACTATTGTCTATACCTGATTATATTCATACCATCTAGCTTGAGTTAAATAAACTACAGTCTATACCTGATTATATTCATACCAACTAGCTTGAGTTAAACACACTATTGTTATACCTGTTTATATTCATACCAACTAGCTTGAGTTAAATAAACTATTGTTATACCTGATTATATTCATACCATCTAGCTTGAGTTAAATAAACTATTGTTATATCTGATTATATTCATACCATCTAGCTTGAGTTAAATAAACTATTGTCTATACCTGATTATATTCATACCATCTAGCTTGAGTTAAATAAACTATTGTTATACCTGATTATATTCATACCATCTAGCTTGAGTTAAATAAACTATTGTTATACCTGTTTATATTCATACCAACTAGCTTGAATTAAATATATTGTCTATACCTGATTATATTCATACCATCTAGCTTTAGGAAAATAAGCTTCTACAACTGTTTGATTTGGTTCTAGAGCTGGTGATATAAGAAGTGCTGGTCCTAATAAAAACTGTCTATCTATGGCCCACGTGTTTCTATCTGCTGGGAATCTGAAATATCATATAAATTATGAGTTGATGAAGACATTTTTACCATTGAGAGAGAACACCATACTAATATTTGTGATTATCGTTTGTTTGTCTGTCTGCCTATTTAGAGTTGGGGGCTATACTAAGGCTGCCCTAAGACTGAGATTTGGTATAGGAGTGGCTTGGACCTGAGTTATGCTACTACTTGTGGTCCATGGCTATTGTGGCACTACTGGACTCCTGTGTTGTGTTTTCTCTGTGATCGAAATGACAGGTTAAGTCGTTTATACAACTTTATTATTAAAGCCGGTAAGCATCAAGTTCCTCGTTCTCAATAAAGTGTATATAGCTTTTGATGGCTGCTCTGACAGCTCAACACCATCGTTTATAACCCCTTAATTTCTTTACGTCATAGACTGACCTTGTTGTTAATTTCCTTCCCAAATATGGAAAAAACATCCCCCATAACCTGAAGATCGAGAGGAGAACATTACCGTATTTGGTCTAATTCAGTTATTACACGTGATCCCTCAATAACACATTCTACAGTAGATATCGCTTGTGATAAATTTCATAATCTCCTTAAAAGATATCGCTTTACACGAATTTGATTGGTCAATTAAAAAGGAACTACATTTTTCTTATTTTCAATAGACAATTCATTTTTTTTATTATTAAAAGTAACTTCTTTTTTTAAAAAGTAAAATCTCTAGCAAAGAACTACATTTATTTATTTGTGTTAAGTATTGGGTGATCAATAAACTCTCATAAAACCGGTAATAGTAATAATAAAAAACTGCCACGTGGTTTCTCATCGATTTTATGAATTATATTCTGTTGTAGTGCAATTTATCGGGAATGTCAGTATAACCCATATAGAAACGCCACAGCTGTTCAATACTAATTTAAACAACGCCTCAGTAATAGTTTTTAATAACTGGAACCTGTATAATTATATTGTCGGTTAATAGTACATGTAACGTACTAATGAAACACGGAATAGAACTGTAACAGAAAGGGTGAGTAACTAAATGCGTTTGAATCAGAGTTGACTACATGACCGAGTGAGAGGTCGCTTGTTTATTCTTAATTCTCATACGTACAATTCTAGAATTTGGTGGAAAGGGTAGGCAACTAAATTGACAACCGGAGGCAGACCACCATTAAATTGTAGTTCGTCTATTTATAGCAATTCCCTCTCTGTCTCCTTTCTCCCCTTCGGCATGCCCATTTTTGTTGATTTGTTGGTCTAGAATGGACGAAGAGGGTTTGAATTAACATTTTCTGCCAGGTTTTGATAAATATTCATGATTTTGAGGCGGAAGGATAGGGGTTATTAGGTTGGCTACGGTGATATGTACGGCAACTAGTTACATGTTTTTAGTATGCTTCTTCAAGTTTGTGTATCTCAAAATTTTGGTGGTCAACCTCTCATACAAATGTTAGTGCAAAGACATAACCATTTGTTCCTCTGTCTGTAGTGAAAAGCATTCAGCCCAACGAAAATTTGGTGGAAAAGTTGAAGGTGGGCAAAGAGGCCAGAATTAACATTGAAGTCAATAGGGAAATTAATGGAGGTCTGCCCCCAACCGGACCGCTCGAATGCTGGTGAGTGGTCGCCCGTTATGTAGGGGATAAACACAGACTGTTTAGAATTTAGAGGACTGTTATTGTCCATTTGATACCGCTTAAATCATTGAGGCCGAGATCGCGTAGCGATCGAGCGCCTCTAATGAAAAGTTTAAGCGGATCAATGGACAATAACATCCAATAAATTCTAAACTGGAGGTGTTTATCGATATTGTAACCCAATAAATTTAACATTTTTCTTGGAATTCTTTCTTGATAGTTGACGGTCGTTTATTGGTTTTAATGATGTAAATACCAAGGAAAACAATTTTGACGTAATGAAAATATCCGTGACGTAATAAAATAACACTCATTTCCATTTTATTTGGTTCACTACGCGACTGGTTAATCGCAAATAAGTGTATTTTATGTACTTTTTAAATGATTTTGAACCACAGCTGTGACTAGGTTCGAAATAAATTGCATATCATGTTTGATAAATGTCCATACACTCGTGTGACCGTGTAGATATATGCTGTGTAGCGTACACATCAGTTATTTTTACGGTCCATACGGAGTTCAATAATTGTAGTATTTTTATTCACTTGTTGTAAGTATGTGGCTTAAAATTTCAAAATACACCAAATGCAGTTTAATTTATACCACTGGAAAGGGCTTTAAAAATGCCTTTAAATGGTGCCTGGTTTATACCCCTACCTCAAATAATAAAAAAAGTTATGATAACTTGAATATCGGAAAATCAGGCTAATTTTGGTACGCTAATTACATGTTAAACAATAGGATAATTTGTCAATATTAAAGATTTCTCCATGAAATTTGCAGTGGATTAAGCTCGAAAGCTGCTTTAAACATCAATATAAAAAATTCCATTCTATCATCAATATATAATAAGTAATTATTTAATTAAATAACTAATTAGGTAATTAAGAATTTGTTGCATAATAAGCCGGCTGTACTGCGACATCATAAAAATGTACATAAAAATTTTTACTAATAAAGATATTACCATGAAATTTACAGTGCATCAAGCTCTAAGATTGCGTTAAACATCAATATAAACAATTCTATTCCATCATTAATGTCTAATAAGTAATTATTTAATTAAAACAAGTCATCAGTATCACTCAGTATTATCACTCAGTAATGTTTTAACTATACATTTGTACAAACATAATTCTATTTAATTTCTTATAAAACAACAATGTCACCAGCAAGTAAATCAGCATCCAACCCAAATTTAGAAACATTGTAATCTTCAGCATTCTCATAAGTTTCATCATCACCCCAGTATGCAATAAGATAGTCCTTGCCCCTTTTAAGTTTTTCTATTTTCCCATGATATTGCTTGGGCGCCTGACAGTCTAAATCAAATCAGGAATGAATGATATTCCTTCCACCAAGGAACCCGCTAAGCATATCAGTTAGGTCCTGTAACTTTTTTTCATTTAAATCCGGATATTCAGTAGCAAGATTACATAACGGAATGTCAGTTAGTCGCTTTTCAATTTTTGTTCGTTCAGATGTAGATTTTTTTTTGATTTTTGATAGCTGCCCGCTTAGACATTTCCTTCCAGGTTTCCATTCCAATTTTACATTGTAAAAGATTATGTTTCTTTGTCTGGGTTACTGCAAAGTTAATTAAGGATTCACGCTTATCTTTTGAGATGTTATCTATATATTTCACTACCTGGTTTTTCTGGACACGCATCCTTGCAGAGAGAAGACGCAAGAGTTGCATTGGGGACCCGTGTTTGCGCAGCACTAAACAATGTTGTGACTGCGGGCAGAATCTGTTTCACTCACAATTTTCTCTGTACCATTTATTGAGAAATACCGTTCAAACTGTCGATCAATTAAGACCACAATTTTCTGTAGACTTGCCTTTAAGAACGTGTCAAATAAAAACTGATCAGAAGGAGGCTGTCGGAGACCAACTAATATAGCATCATCTAAATCCAGTGCATCACCAAAGAAATCCGTCTTTCGACTCATGATGCCTGCAAATTTTTTTTACAGTCATTAATGTTGTCACGAGCTTTCTTTATGACAGAAATTCTTTCAATATGATTTATCTCGTTAGATGAAGAAGTATAAAATTTCTTCATCCATGGTCCTGTTATGTACTTTCCGATCAATCCAACAACATGCAGCTCTGCCACAGCTTCGGGTAATTGGATATCATGAAGTAAACTTGAATGGAAGCCACTCAGATCAGCTCCAGATTGAAGAAAAGCAAAGAATTTAACATGGTATACAAAGTATTTTGCTGCTTTTAAGGATAGATCGAGTGGAACTTGCAATAGTATCCAACGGATGTAGATGACAATTCAGTTCGTTGAAGTCTTTGTTCCATTCCTGACTGATGAGAACTGTTGACGCATGTTTGGCATTTACCCGGTCTGTCATGGTATTACATATTTTTGATATTATTTGCTGACGACATTCTTGAAAGTTCGGGTTGTGGAACATTGTATACATATAACTGATATTATCAACAGATTTACAGACATGATCTTTACAATCTACAGGACAACCACCAGGAAGTTGATCAACAGCCAATACTAAACAGCTCCTGTCGTTAAATGCCACGTGAGCACTGTTTATGTGGGTTCCATCCTGTGTTGTCGGATATAATTCCAAGTTCACGACCCATCATTTCAATAGTAGTTCGATGCGGAATGTTCGTTAAGTTTAGATTACACCGCTTTGCAAATGACTGTAATAGTGGCGGAATATTTGCTGTTGGTACCTGATTAACTATGGCGTCATAAACAAGTTGACTGATTTCTGGTGAATATCTACAGCTCTTTTCCTCAACAATATCTGCTGATCGGGGGATCACGTGGCTTAGTGGGTAAGACGCTGTCTCGCTAGCCTGGAGGTCGGGTGTTCGATCCCTGCATTTGCCGAGAAAGTTCATCCAGATTTTCCGGCGTGGTTTCCCCTTGTCAGTGATGCAGGATCGAGGGCCTGACAAGGACCGCTGTCTAGTCGTTCGGATGGAACGAACAACCGAGGTCCCGTGTACACATTGGCGTGCACGTAAAAGATCCCTTGGCAGTTGGAATTCGATATAAGAGTAGGCAATAGCGCCGCTGCCCGGGCAAAATTTCGCTCATAGCACACTATATGGTGTATGCCCATCTTCATTAGTCCAGGTTAGGAGCAGAACAGTAGGACGTTAAACCCTATTTCATTTCATTTCATTTCATTTCTATCTGTTGATTGAGTCATTGTTTCTATCTGACCTGTTAACTCAAACTTTTCATACTCTAATGTTACGATCTGTTCATTTTTAGATATAACGTCTTTCGCAAGGTCGATAACTTGCGAGGACAATGCAGCAGCTTATTAAACTGAATCCATCGATTTCTCAATGCGATGGCATTTCCGTTTCAGTTTGAGTAATTTAATTTGGGCTTTCTTCAGATTCTGTGAATCGGGATTATTTGCGATAATTTTTTTTTATTATCTCGTCTTTTCTTTTTAATTTCTGGTTTAACACCCGACTACGAAGTTGTGACTGCAGTTTGTTAATTCTCACCGTCTTCACGAGGCACATCCGCTGGTGACTCCTCTCATTAATATGCATGCTTTGATGCTTAATAAAGAAACCAGTCTGATTAGGATAGAATGACCATGGCAACCATCATTGTCAGGCCAGCCTTGAAGTGAAATTTACTTATCATCTTTCAAATACACTCACTAACTTTGTTTTTTTGTGTGTGTGTTTCAATAAGTCAATGGTTGAATTTCATTGTTGATGACATAAAAGGAAAAAAAATCATGAAGATTTCCTAGAATAAAGTTTTGAGGTGTAGAACTTTTGGCCACTGCAAACAGAGTATAGCACCCAGAAAATATTCATTCGCAGTGTGTCGCCCAGGAAATTTAGAGGACTGTTATACTCATTCGACGCCACTTTTCGATCAATCAGAATCCAAGAAATTATCATTTTGGGCTACAATCCTAATTATCTTACGTACAATTCTGGAATCTGGTGGAGAGTGTAAGTTACTAAACGCTTTTTAAATCACCGTTGACAACCGGACGGTTCGAATTCTGGCGAGAGGTCGCCCGTTATTCATAATTCTTATACATACAATTCTGTTGACTGCTGGCCTTGTATCGCATACAATAATAGGCTATTTTTGCATGTTCTGTCAAGTTGTGTCTTAATATTCGTGGGGGGTTGGATGGCCGAATGGTTAGCACGTGCACGCTGTATCATAAGGCCTGTCATTGAGTCAACTGATGTGGTTTCGAATCCACGGTTGTACGTGACAAGGAGTATGCTCGGCTGTCCAACCTCGTGGGTTTTTTCCGGGTCCTCCGGTTTCCTCCCACTGCTAAAGACCCCTACGCGCAAGCGGATTATTGAACTAAAATTAAACCATGTTAGTCCCGAAAAGATCTAGTTTGTGTCGAGTGGACGTTAAACCCCTTTTTTCTCTCACTCTCCCTCTCTACAGAAATACTAGCGGGATACCCAACATCAATACACACGGGGTTTAAATTCGCCCGTGATCCAATTCGCCCCCGGGGCCCAAATTAGATGGTCTAAAATATTCACTGGGTCATGCTGATTAATTTGATACCACATATGTAAGGGTTGAGCGCAGTCTGGTTAAAATACAGATGCTATTTATAGTTCAAAATTTCGTTTTACTTGTCTTTACTACAATAGGATCTGGAAGAGTTGTTATCATTGACGTGTTCTGAATGATGTGAGCTATTAGCAAATGAAACGGTCTGTTACGGCGAGCTTTGGGGGTGTTTTGCACGGAACTGTGGGTAATCCATTAGTAATAACATCAATGCTGATTAGTTAATCGAATGTCTGACGTCATAGGGTCAAAAGCCGCTCGTATGACTCTGACGCGACCTATCTCCACAACCGGTCAGATCTTCATGTAGTGTAGACCATCGAAAGTATAAAAAAAACCGAAACGAAATATAGAACTGTATTATAATCAGATTGGGGCGGAGCGCGGCGAACACACATTCAAATCAAAAGTTTACTGACATGGGATGAGGCTTCTAGGGGAAAATAGATAAACCATTCAAGCTGGCGAATACTTCTCCTATGCTGGTCTGCATGGATTTTGGGAAGTTGTGCTTGGGCCGGAAAATGTCATAGCGTATAATAGCTTGCCCTTTCTTACTTTTAGAGAATGCTGTACTTTCAACCCTTCTGCTTTCAGATGGGACGTATCCAAATATTATTTATGGTACTAATATTCATCGGCTGTGGTATATATCTTATAGCAGAATTTAGCGGGAAGCTAAACTGGAGTTCTACTGCATTGCTAAACAGAAGCTCGCTGCCAAACGGTACAAAGTTAATTGCTTGGGAAAATAAACCCGATTGGCCTTGGATACAAGATATAAGCTTCAAGAACTGTGCAGTCAAATCTTGTGCTTTTACTGCCCGAAAGGAAGAAGCCGATGTTGTGATTATTTATATGGTTAACTACCATCTCCAATCCCCGTTTCATCGACCTTTAGGTCAAATTTGGGCTGTTTTCGGATTAGAACCACCTCATTTGGTGTCAACAAACGTCTGGTCAAATCCTGCATGGCAATCACAGATCAATTGGACGATGACATACCGCTTAGATTCCACAATTTTTTTCCCCTATTACCAGCCTTCCAGGCCGATTCAAGATCTACCAAATTTAAAAGGGATTTTGTCCAAAAAATCGAGACTTGTCGCAGCTGTTGTGAGTAATTGTTATCTAGCGCCAAGTAAGAGACTGAAATATATCCAGTTTCTTCAAAGACATCTTAAACAACCGATCGATGTTTATGGAAACTGTGGAACACTTATGGCTGGTCAGGGATATGACTGGTTTAAAACTATTAGTGTCAAATATAAATTTTATCTTGCCTTTGAAAACTCTTTATGCAAGGATTATATAACAGAAAAGTTTTTCGGTAGACAAAATCTAAATTGGATCGTCATCGCACGAGGAAGTGGAAATTATTCTCAGTTTTATCCAAAACAATCATATATTGATACCCGTGATTTCAAAACAACAAAAGATTTGGCTGACTACATCCAGTATCTAGATAAAAATGACACGGCTTATTTAGAATATTTATCCAATAAACTAGATTTTAAGGCCCGATCTGACGCACCAGAACCATTTTGTGAAATCTGTAAACGTCTTCATGAACCACTGGTGCCAACACATTATGCTAATATTTGGGATTGGTTTTCTAAGAATGCCTGTTCTGAACCACAAGACATCATTTAAACAATCTCAATTCGTTTTCCGTTTTCGTACATATTTTATATACCATATTTTATATTTTACCGGATTCAATTTTAATTAAAGCTGCAATTTCATATTTTTAAGTTATACTTTTAAAATTTATTAAAATGAAGCCTTAAAATAGATGGCATCCATAGACCGTCCTGCCTTGTTAAAGAATAATCCTATTAGTCCTATGTCACCATTGCCAGCTGAGAAATTGGCAAAATATCATTTTCAACTTCAAATTCCAACGTTTGAAGGTAGCTAATGCATGGAGGCAATAGGAAAACAGGGGAGGTAATTGTATTATATCCTGTGTCAATGATTTTTAAGGGTGGGAAATAATGCCCATGGTCGTATAATAGTGAGTTCAAAAGACATAGACATAATTATGTTTTGACTTTCTTAGAAAATATGAAATTATCGCTTTAACGTACATGTACAACAAGGTACCTGAAAGGTATATCATCTGCATGGATTCGACTTTAGTGTGGAAGATGTACATACTATCCAGTTAGCCCAAGGCCAATAGGATAAACGCAATATAGGATATACGCAATGGACCTTATAAAGGCACGTTATATTCTGTACAGTTGTAAAGTATAGTACGGATAGTGAAAACGGTTTATTCATAAAAGATAACCAAATGAAACGAAGTGACATGAAATGGGGTTTAACGTCCCACTGTTAATATTAATCGGCTTCACTCACTCACATACAACATAACAAGAAGTAGGGTCGTTTGCCCAACCCCGAGTTTCCCCCACTGCTAAAAAAAAACTTTGCGCGCTAGACAAACTTATTGAAATAAAATAGTACCAAGTTAGTTACTGTTTCTACCCATTCCCACCATCTCTCACATACTTTGAACTGAGTTTGGGCTCCGTGGTTTATATTAAATATAAATCCTCCTATTGAGAGAGAGAGAGAGAGAGAGCGGGAGAGAGAGAGAGAGAGGGGGGGGGACCAGCAAATGATTCAATTTTATTTCAATAGATCGCTTGCGCGTAGGGGTCTTTAGCAATGAGAGAATGGGTTTAACGTCCTCTCGACACAATCTAGGTCATTTCGGGACTAACGCATGGTTCAATTTTTTATTTCAATAATTCGCATGCGCGTAAGGGTCTTTAGCAGTGGGAGGAAACCGGAGGACCCGGAGAAAACCCACGAGGTTGGACAGGCGACCCTACTCCTTGTCACGTACAACCGGGGATTCGAAACCACACCAGTTGACTCAATGACGGGCTTTATGATACAGTGCACACGTGCTAACCATTCGGTGATCCACCCACATCCCCCTATTAGGTAAGAGAGTGGGCCCAGATTGACTAATATGAAGAAGTATCCTATACGTCTTTTCACAAAGTTTCATATCAAAATATTGAGGCATTAGAAAAATCATCGCTAAATTTGCTTAACGGGGATTACGCATGCCATTAAGCAGGAATTTGATTGTTAAAGTTAATGAGTGACTTAGTAATTATGAGGGGGGTTGGATGGCCGAATGGTTAGCACGTGCGTGCTGTATCATAAGACCTGTCATTGAGTCAACTGGCGTGGTTTCGAATCCCCGGTTGTACGTGACAAGGAGTAGGGTCGCCTGTCCAACCTTCTATAATTAGACTACTCATAACTTCAGCAAGTATAAATGATAGATCGAGTGGAACTTGCAATAGTATCCAACGGATGTAGATGACAATTCAGTTCGTTGAAGTCTTTGTTCCATTCCTGACTGATGAGAACTGTTGACGCATGTTTGGCATTTACCCGGTCTGTCATGGTATTACATATTTTTGATATTATTTGCTGACGACATTCTTGAAAGTTCGGGTTGTGGAACATTGTATACATATAACTGATATTATCAACAGATTTACAGACATGATCTTTATAATACTAAACAGCTCCTGTCGTTAAATGCCACGTGAGCACTGTTTATGTGGGTTCCATCCTGTGTTGTCGGATATAATTCCAAGTTCACGACCCATCATTTCAATAGTAGTTCGATGCGGAATGTTCGTTAAGTTTAGATTACACCGCTTTGCAAATGACTGTAATAGTGGTGGAATATTTGCTGTTGGTACCTGATTAACTATGGCGTCATAAACAAGTTGACTGATTTCTGGTGAATATCTACAGCTCTTTTCCTCAACAATATCTGCTGATTGGGGGATCACGTGGCGTAGTGGGTAAGACGCTGTCTCGCTAGCCTGGAGGTCGGGTGTTCGATCCCTGCATTTGCCGAGAAAGTTCATCCAGATTTTCCGGCGTGGTTTCCCCTTGTCAGTGATGCAGGATCGAGGGCCTGACAAGGACCGCTGTCTAGTCGTTCGGATGGGACGAACAACCGAGGTCCCGTGTACACATTGGCGTGCACGTAAAAGATCCCTTGGCAGTTGGAATTCGATATAAGAGTAGGCAATAGCGCCGCTGCCCGGGCAAAATTTCGCTCATAGCACACTATATGGCGTATGCCCATCTTCATTAGCCCAGGTTAGGAGCAGAACAGTAGGACGTTAAACCCTATTTCATTTCATTTCATTTCTATCTGTTGATTGAGTCATTGTTTCTATCGGACCTGTTAACTCAAACTTTTCATACTCTAATGTTACGATCTGTTCATTTTTAGATATAACGTCTTTCGCAAGGTCGATAACTTGCGAGGACAATGCAGCAGCTTGTTTAACTGAATCCATCGATTTCTCAATGCGATGGCATTTCCGTTTCAGTTTGAGTAATTTAATTTGGGCTTTCTTCAGATTCTGTGAATCGGGATTATTTGCGATAATTTTTTTTTATTATCTCGTCTTTTCTTTTTAATTTCTGGTTTAACACCCGACTACGAAGTTGTGACTGCAGTTTGTTAATTCTCACCGTCTTCACCAGGCACATCCGCTGGTGACTCCTCTCATTAATATGCATGCTTTGATGCTTAATAAAGAAACCAGTCTGATTAGGATAGAATGACCATGGCAACCATCATTGTCAGGCCAGCCTTGAAGTGAAATTTACTTATCATCTTTCAAATACACTCACTAACTTTGTTTTTTTTGTGTGTGTTTCAATAAGTCAATGGTTGAATTTCATTGTTGATGACATAAAAGGAAAAAAAATCATGAAGATTTCCTAGAATAAAGTTTTGAGGTGTAGAACTTTTGGCCACTGCAAACAGAGTATAGCACCCAGAAAATATTCATTCGCAGTGTGTCGCCCAGGAAATTTAGAGGACTGTTATACTCATTCGACGCCACTTTTCGATCAATCAGAATCCAAGAAATTATCATTTTGGGCTACAATCCTAATTATCTTACGTACAATTCTGGAATCTGGTGGAGAGTGTAAGTTACTAAACGCTTTTTAAATCACCGTTGACAACCGGACGGTTCGAATTCTGGCGAGAGGTCGCCCGTTATTCATAATTCTTATACATACAATTCTGTTGACTGCTGGCCTTGTATCGCATACAATAATAGGCTATTTTTACATGTTCTGTTAAGTTGTGTCTTAATATTCGTGGGGGGTTGGATGGCCGAATGGTTAGCACGTGCACGCTGTATCATAAGGCCTGTCATTGAGTCAACTGATGTGGTTTCGAATCCACGGTTGTACGTGACAAGGAGTATGCTCGGCTGTCCAACCTCGTGGGTTTTTTCCGGGTCCTCCGGTTTCCTCCCACTGCTAAAGACCCCTACGCGCAAGCGGATTATTGAACTAAAATTAAACCATGTTAGTCCCGAAAAGATCTAGTTTGTGTCGAGTGGACGTTAAACCCCTTTTTTCTCTCACTCTCCCTCTCTACAGAAATACTAGCGGGATACCCAACATCAATACACACGGGGTTTAAATTCGCCCGTGATCCAATTCGCCCCCGGGGCCCAAATTGGATGGTCTAAAATATTCACTGTGTCATGCTGATTAATTTGATACCACATATGTAAGGGTTGAGCGCAGTCTGGTTAAAATACAGATGCTATTTCGTTTCGTTTTTATAGTTCAAAATTTCGTTTTACTTGTCTTTACTACAATAGGATCTGGAAGAGTTGTTATCATTGACGTGTTCTGAATGATGTGAGCTATTAGCAAATGAAACGGTCTGTTACGGCGAGCTTTGGGGGTGTTTTGCACGGAACTGTGGGTAATCCATTAGTAATAACATCAATGCTGATTAGTTAATCGAATGTCTGACGTCATAGGGTCAAAAGCCGCTCGTATGACTCTGACGCGACCTATCCCCACAACCGGTCAGATCTTCATGTAGTGTAGACCATCGAAAGTATAAAAAAAAAACGAAACGAAATATAGAACTGTATTATAATCAGATTGGGGCGGAGCGCGGCGAACACACATTCAAATCAAAAGTTTACTGACATGGGATGAGGCTTCTAGGGGAAAATAGATAAACCATTCAAGCTGGCGAATACTTTTCCTATGCTGGTCTGCATGGATTTTGGGAAGTTGTGCTTGGGCCGAAAAATGTCATAGCGTATAATAGCTTGCCCTTTCTTACTTTTAGAGAATGCTGTACTTTCAATCCTTCTGCTTTCAGATGGGACGTATCCAAATATTATTTATGGTACTAATATTCATCGGCTGTGGTATATATCTTATAGCAGAATTTAGCGGGAAGCTAAACTGGAGTTCTACTGCATTGCTAAACAGAAGCTCGCTGCCAAACGGTACAAAGTTAATTGCTTGGGAAAATAAACCCGATTGGCCTTGGATACCAGATATAAGCTTCAAGAACTGTGCAGTCAAATCTTGTGCTTTTACTGCCCGAAAGGAAGAAGCCGATGTTGTGATTATTTATATGGTTAACTACCATCTCCAATCCCCGTTTCATCGACCTTTAGGTCAAATTTGGGCTGTTTTCGGATTAGAACCACCTCATTTAGTGTCAACAAACGTCTGGTCAAATCCTGCATGGCAATCACAGATCAATTGGACGATGACATACCGCTTAGATTCCACAATTTTTTTCCCTATTACCTGTCTTCCAGGCCGATTCAAGATCTACCAAATTTAAAAGGGATTTTGTCCAAAAAATCGAGACTTGTCGCAGCTGTTGTGAGTAATTGTTATCTAGCGCCAAGTAAGAG